AGATGTGTTGGGAGATGGTTACCACAGGCTGTTAGAAGTCTCTGACTTACCAAACTGCTGGTGGGAAATCAAATGACAGTGCTTTCATGACAGAAATCTACCAAATGACTGTACTACAGCTTATTCACAGGTTGAAAATGGCTGCCACTTTAGTCATTTGAGCTTCAACAAAATTGGAGAAGAACAACTAGAAAGCAAAATTTACATACCAACAACTTTCCAAAAATCTGAAAGGAGTGATGGAGAATTAAGTGGGTAAAAAGGTGTCTAAGAAATTGACATCATGCTTTTAGAATGCCATTAGAGAGAAGAAAATAATTAAGTTTAGAAACCCTAAAATGGTCTGTAGTGCACGTGCAAAATGCACTGGGGCAGTGCTATGGCTCAGTGTCTTGTGAAGTATGAGCTGCAAACTGAATGCTTCATATCCCCTGGGAAAGCAAACAGTCTTGGCTTCCTAATGATATAGCAATTCATTCCTGCCTTGATGCCTCCAAGGGCTCTGTGTCTTGAGCCAGATTCTGTTTCAATGCTCGTAGACTTGTTTGGGGGCTGCAGGCAAGAGTAGTTTTTGGTGATTCAATTCATGTCTTAAGAAAGACAGAGAAACATTTGTCTGGCATGTTGTTTTGTGTTTTAAAATTGTATCTACTCTTCATAAAATTTTGGTGTGAGAAGCCACCATGTGGTGTGTACTTGGTGTTTGTTGTTCTCCAAGGAGAAGGAGGAGGCCAAAGGTGCATGACAAATGGAGTTTGTTAGATATTTAGCTGGTTGTCCAACTACCTACTTTCTGAATGGAGTGTAACTGATAATGCCTTTTGGTCCACTCCCCTGGATATCACATGGTTAAAACTGACGACCAGACTTTGTGAACCATTAGTCAAGAAATTTCTTGACTTTCTTTGCAAAGGATGTTGGCTTCTTCATCATTACGCTTTCTGTTCACTACATTCACTACATTCCTACATTTTCTGGTTTGCTTCTTTCCCCCCCCCAAAATCTGAGAGAACCCTGAGATTTTCCTGACCTGGAATTAAGCAATTAAGCATTAGTCCACGATTTTCTTGATCACAAAGATCAAGAAATAGGGAAAGAAGTGAAGGGCTTTTCTTTCATTAAGACCTTTATGTAGATGCTGAGAAGGGGTAGCACAGAACATTATGCCTGAAAAACATAAATACTTTACACCACCCTGACAGTAATCTATGGAATGATCTCACAGTAGTTAATTCATTTTGGGGTTCAAATACTTGCTTACCTCTTATCTCATTTTTAAGAAGTTCCCCATATCCAGCTGAAGAGTTGAGACTTCATATAACCTAACAAGGAACAACCTACTATAAATTTCAAAGCTTTCTTTGAGTCCACAGGAAGACATGAATACCTTTACCAGCCAGGGATTTGCAAAAGCAGTCTAGACTTTGTAAAAACACTTATTATTAGTATTAGATCTCATCACTGGATTCTGTATACACAACAAGGGGGAAAATGAAAGATTCTCAGACATGACAGGGTTTTCTTTATGTTTTGATCTTTGGTTTTATAATCTATAGGAACTAGTGTACAAATCAAAATGCTAGCCAATCTCTTCCAGAAATCTGGATTCTCATGAAGATGTGCATATAATGATAGTTTTACTTTTGCTCAAATAGGCAGGTTTTTCCATCCCATGGTTTCCTACAGTCCCTCATCTCATTGAGCTGCTGCAGCTAAAACCTTTCTACTTCCTCTTAAACCATCTTGATGACTCTCTCCTTTGATGTTTGTGATTAAAAAATACAACAGGAAGATGCCACCCAACAGCAGAAGAGGCTCCCACATGAGTTATCTTCTGTAGCTGTAAACCAGCAGCAACCGATTTTTCCCCAGAGGAAGGTGAGGTAGACCAAAGGCAGCAGTGGTAACAACTTTCCCACTGACAAACCTAAAACTACAAGAAAAAGGATTTACCAAGTTTGTGCAGAGGAGTTAAATACTGCTATTTAACTGAACCCGGATCCCCTGACATCCAGCTGCAACTATAACTGTACGGACAACTCTGCTGTTTCTTTGTGATTGCCAACACAGGGGTATAAATCCAAGCAAGCAGTGCTGAGCACTTTCAGCTCTCACCAAAGTAAGTAAGACTCAGAGGTGCTCAGCCCTGTGCTGCTCTCGGCAGGAAGGTGGCACTGGACCTGTGCTAGGCCAGCACTGGTTCAACCTCTGCCACCCCCAGGCTCTGCTACCTGCCTGCATCAGCCACCTTCTTCTATTTCTTATATGTCTCTAATCCACCAAACACACACGTGGGAGTATCTAAATTAAAAATAGCAACCCAGAAAAAAATGCAGTGCAGCCAGAGAGCTGATTTGCAGCTGAATTATTCATCCCCACATACCCCTCTCATCCCAGGATGATAGTACTGGAGCTGCGCAGGTGTAGCCTGGCTCAGGGGCTGGTGATGCAAGGGAGAGACAACAACCTTGTGGGTGTCTGTCCCCTGTCAGCAAGCTAAATTTCCCACTGGTCAGCTCATCTGTCTTTTTATACCAACTGCTACATGAAAACACCTTAAACCACCTCCTTGCTTCCCTCTATGTCGCCTCCCTTTACTTATTACTTACTACCCAATAACCAAATTAATGCAGCTCAACACTCTCAAACCCAAAGAAATGAATTAGTCCAACCTTTTAAAAGGTTATTGGAATATTCTGTTCCATTAACACCAAACCTTAGTAGAGAAACACATGAAAAAGCTGTTCCTCTGCTTTTACTGGCCAGGCCTGAGCTGAGGTGCTTTGGTGGGTTGCCAGCTTGTGAAATTGCAATTTGCAAGAAACCTTGAGTGATTTTCCCTGTGTATCTGCAGGGCCCTTGGTTTTAATCAGTGCTCTGGTTGTTATTGCAGCATGTGATTTAGAAAAATTGCTGGCAGTTAATGGCCACTTTTTTGTGAGGAATTTTTGTAAATAACATTTTTATTTCCACAGAGAATCATTCAATTATCAGAGCAACCATAAAAACCTCAGGAGACAGAATATCCTGTGACATGAAAGAAGGGAAAAACCAAACACGGACTTACCTTCAAAGTAATCTTCATGGTTTCTGGCTGGCATCCTGCTTCCTGTGTCTGGTGCCATATTTTCATGGCCTCCCTCACCACCATATTCCTGGGCTGGTGCCTCACAGGACCCCCCTCAAGCATCCTCCCTGAGGATCACACCTTGTGTGAAACTCATGGGCACATGAAAGCCAAATGAAAACTGGCAATGTAAGCAAGATGTTTGTGTTGCACAAAACACAGCTCAGTCCCAGGTTCCTCTGGGTGATGGCTTCTATGTCTGCCTGCTTCTCTCCATTGGCTTTCCTGTCTGTGGTATCCCAGCTCATTTTTTTTTCTTCCGTGGTTTCTGTAGGATAACTACATGAGTGTGACACTCCCTATCTCATTCCTGCAACCTGCGGTCATATGCCACCAAGTCATACCCAATCCAGTTGTGGCTGCTTTGGAGGTGTGTTGGTGTCTTAGGAGGCTAATCTTCTCCCACAAAACTGCAATGACTTCATTCTGAATTACAGCAAATTCCTCAGAAGCACATAATGAAGACGTAACCCCGCGTAAATATGGTCCTACCTCACTTCGCTTCTGCAGGCATTAAAAAGGGAAGATTGTGATGGTTTCAGTAGTACCCTACCCTCTCCTATGATCCAGCATATCTTTCCAGCTTCCACCTCAGCCTGAGGTTTTGCACAGGTGGAGCAGAAGACATAGATTTGTTTTGGATGTTAGCCAAAGTGACCATGGGACCAAAATGACCAAGAGAAATGGATAGACAGCAGCTGTAAATCAGGGATTGTCCAAAGAAGCACTTGCTACCTGTATAGAAATGCTACTGCCTCTCTCAAGTTTCTAACCTAATTCTGCAGCTCAGCGATACAGAAGACTGTGCCAGACATCAATCTGGGCACTTGCCTCAGGGCTTCTGCTTTGGTTGCTTCTAGTTGGCACTCCATAGCATCACCCCTTCACAGCAGAGAGATTCTTCCCAGTGGGAGCTGCAGGGAGCAGGTCTGCTACTCATACACGCCTGGGCATTCTTCTCTGGGACGTAAATGCATAGGCTCATGCCCTTCCAATGAATGGCTAGAAAGAAGCCCTCCAGCTTTCACAGCTCTCTATGGCTTTTGCTAGATTTAGTATCACCTTGTCTTTAGCTGATAAATCTCAGCAGTGAAGCAGCTGTTCACTAACCACAGAAATGGGGCCAATTTCTCCAAAAAGAGCCATTCAGCAACAGTCTCGCTACTTTCTGTATTCATGTATATCCTCCATACACTTCTTTTTTGCAGCTAAACATTAGTTTCATGTGAAGATTTGCTGAGCGGTGAAAGATAAAGCACGCTGGAGAGAGAAGAAGAGAGCCAGGAAATGCTATTTCTATGATGTCAAAAGAGCACCAGATTTTACTGTTATCTTTAATGAAATGCTGAAGGGCAAGGTGAGAAAATGGAGATTTGTTAGCACTGATCATAGTTCTTCTTTTGCTGGACTCACGAAACAGCAGGAACTAGGGAAAAGAGAATTTTGAGTGGCATTCAGCTGTATATTTAAGCATGAATCATCCTCCATCTATTGCAGTCTCTTTTTTTTTATGTAGTTGAATTTTCATGAAGGAATATATGAACTCTGGTTACAACAGATGTCATCTTGGAGGGTTTTTTCTTTTAATATCTGACTGTAGACCCAGTATAATAGGCAATATTGGGCTTTCATCTTTCACCACTACTAGCTATAAAATCCAGAGGAGATGATCATTAGCATGCATTACTTAAGAGAAGTACAGCACTCAGTGAGTCAGGGTACAGACCAAGAATTAATTGTTGAAGAAATTAGAAAAAAATTGAAGAATGGACACATTTGAGAAAATTGCAGTCTGTCCAGACTCCAAAGAGCCAGTGTAGAGTGAAGATGGCTACTGTGTTCCCCTATGGCTTACCTGAAGGGATGCAGGAAGAATTTGCTGGGAATGCAGTGGCCAGTAGGAACATGGCTGGGTGAAAGGGTGAGGTTGGATGGTGGGATCTTCCAGCTCCAGGCTTGAATTTCTGTAGGAAAAATAGTCACTCACTGAGCTGAAAATGGCCAAGGTGGCTGCCAGAGAGGGGAACAAGAGCTGACTAGAGTGCAGGTTGCTGGAGGCACCTTTTAACAAGATGCTGGGAAGCAGGCTTCAGTTTTCACAGCCCATTAATATGGACTGAACCATATGCAACAGGGTGGTGGACTAGGGGATGTGCATACTTGCAGACACATGGAGAAGTGCTGAAGAGGCCATGCTCTATAGCAGCATCCTCAGCTAGTGCATAGCACCCAGGGCTGCGGCTGAAACAGAGCCTTTTAGTAGCTCCCTGCATGATTGCCCTACTGAGCTTTCCTTCAAAACATTTAAATATCTCCTGAACAACTGTCCTAGTGGCAAAGCCTAGCCTCTGCCATGCTTTCAGGATTCTGAGAGTTCTTTGTTGCTATTATTATCCACCCTGCCCTTTATGCCATGCCAACACTGCTGCTGATTTTTCTGCTGTATTTCAGCGCCTTTTTCAAGACCCCATTTTCCCATGAGAATATTTTTTTCCTGATTTACATGGGGTGTAGTGGATCAGACCATTAGGGACAAGAATGGCCACATAACTCACCTCAGCCTGCAGGCTGCATAGCAAGATGTGCTATGGAGAGAAATATTTATGGAGGAGCTGCCCCAGAGCAGTTTTTTGGGGGGATGAAGAACAGGTTCAGCCAATGCAGTGTTTCTTTCCTCTTCCAGACTAATTACAGGATTCTTTGCTTAGATCATCACTTTGTAAAGAAATTCTTTTTGACAAACAATCATCTTTTTTCTGCTAATTTTCCACAAATGTCTGCCAACTCTCTCCTATACTGCATCATACATGTGCCCTCCAGATTACACTCTCCTGATAAGTTCCTGTTGCTTTCACATCTTTTGTAGCTTTGGTAAGTCATGAAAAGCAACCCAGACCAAAATTATCTGAAGTCAGACTTAATTTAAAAGATCAGATTCTGCCATCTCATGCTTAAACCCATCAAAAGTGCCCCCGAAATTCATTCATCAGTGGAATTGCTGGGAGGATGCTGCACCCACTGCAGAGCACAGGTAGTGCATCAGGACAGTGCTCCTCTGGTGGCTCCACGACAGGTGCCTCTCCTCAGCAGACTCCCCTCTTCTCGCTCAGAGTCCTGTTGTGAAAACTTTTTCCTATTTGTTTACTAGATTGGCTCTAGGAGATGTGTATGGGTAAGAATGGCAATTTGAAGATGGAAATTGAATCAGCTCTATGTGTCCTGCTCTCAGAAAGCAGGGAAGTGCTTTACATTGTGTTCCCCATTAGCTAGGACTACAAGAGGATTATTTTTCTTCCATGAACTTTGTGTAGTACAAGACTCCAGAAATGTTGATGTGATTCCTGACCAAGGGTGGATAATGGACTGTCCTTGAGCTCTTGCCGATGGGACAGGGAGGCATAGAGCATGGGAAGATGTTTTCAGTGCCAGTACTGATTACTTCTCTGATCTGGAAGTTCAAGTTGCCAGATGTTTTTGGTGCCTGTTAGAAAACCATAATTTTTAGAGACAAGGTTGGCTTTGCCCTAAAATCGAACAGTAGCCTTAAAAAACCTCTGAAATAGTTTCCCTCAGACCAACCAGATACTAGGCATTTCTGTGAATGATGGCTTTCATTCGTCACACTGAGACTTAATGACTGAGTAAAACAGTAGAAATAGGGAGTTAAATGGTGGACTATTTACTCCTTACTGTTTTCACAAACTATAAGTAGTTGACCTTTTTATTGCCTTTCTAAAAGGTTCCTGCCCTATTTCTGCTCCTAGGTTCCAGGCCACAGGTCTCTGCCCTCTCAGTTGTGGCAAGAGACCGAATCAGGGAACTTTTTATGGGCTGTCTCTGAGAGAGAGGACAAAATTCTCCTTCCTTTGTGGGTTTGTGGGAGAGGATGATAACTGGCAGTTACTGTTTTTGCCTAATGCATTACTGCCCAAGCAGTATTTACAAAGGTAACAACCCTGTTTCAAGCCAAAGCCAAGGGTGTGGCTAGGAGTGTAAAAGCCCTCTCCTTAGACCAAGTATATTAAGAAGTTGATGTCCATTTATTTGTCTCTTAGTGGCACAAAAAACATAGTGCTAGGAGAGAGACAAGAAGAGCTGCTGTGTATTACTTTAACTAATTATAATCTCTGATTTACTCTCTTGGTTAGTAATTTGCGAAAGAAGGTCTGTGCCTCATTCAGAGGCACATATGGAAGCTTCAGTGCCTGCCCAGCTTGGTCCTATGAGATAAGGAGACAGTCTAATCTTGACCCTTAGTCTGACCCATGTTGGCTTTCCCTTTCCATTTGAGTAGCTTTAATGTCTGTGTCATTCCGTGGCCCCTTGCTATTGCAGGTCCTCTCCACCATATGAACAAAAAGGAGGTTTCCAACCCCCCCACAGGTTAATGGAGCTGGGACCAAGAGGGCATTTGAGAGTCTCCAGCCAATGATCCCAGCCAGTAGTCCCAGCACTGTTGTGGGACAGAGGTTCGAAAGCTGTATTTGGGCTGGGAGGGGATTAGCATCCCACTTCATGCCCATGCTATTTGCCTTCCAGATAGTCACAGATGTGGGCTATTTTCTGCTGCAAACTAGAAGAATAGTTTTAAAGCTACTTGTCACTCTCCCATTTCACTTTTAAGAGACAGTGCTTATTTTTAGAAGATATTACTCACAAACAGTAGGTTTTCCTGGTCATATCTGCTGATAGAAATGTCTATATTGCAGATGGCAGCATGTCTAATCCTCACGAGACACATTTCCTGGAATTGAACAGGAGACAAAGTGTGAATATCACAGCTTCATACAAGTAACTGCCTGTTTAGTAGAAAATCAGTCAGCAATACAAACCAATTGTTTAGAAAAGCAGTGTCTTGGACATCCATCTTAAGTTGCACATAAACAGCTCAATCTTTCTCAAGCTAATTGTGGCTGCAGCAGCAAAATCGGGTAATGAAAACATTGTTTTGGAATGGAAATTAATGAACAAGTTGCTTACTAATCAGAGAGATGTTTCTTTGCTGGCAAAGATAGACACTCTCTGGTTTCTCTCCCTTCTTGAAAGACTACAGTAATGAGACAAAATAAAAGCTATTATTTTTTTGGGAAATACTATCTCAGTACTACCTTACAAGCCAGCAGAAGACCAGGGTCTTGAAGGGCCTTCTGTCAACTTTCTCCTTGTTCAAGTGGAGTGGAGTCAACTTTCTCCTTGTTCAAGCTCTGAGCTTTCATAGATAGGCAATCGAACAACCATAAGGGCACCACAACTCTAGCTGGACAGGCTTATTAGTGAAAGGCTATGCTTGATGAACAAATCTTTCAGATTAGCCTTTGCTATGCAAGTATATTGTAGAAAAAAATGTGGTACAAACAAGTTGAGGAAAAAAGTAGCAGATAAATTAGATTGAACCTTTGACTGTCCTAAGAGAACAGGACTACAATGATGGAGTAAAAGGATTTTACATTTGCCTTTTAATATTGCTTGATATCAACAAACTTGGGAAGAGTAGGAACCAAGAGTACTTAAGCATGACCAATGCAGTTGAAAATAAAGTATTAGCCAAGGTGATACATTTCAGAGTGATCTGCTTTTCAGTGGAAGGTATGTGGGGGGATTTACTAATGCAATAAAAAGGGGAAAATTATTAAATTATGTCTTGTCGAGGACCAGGAATCGGAATGGGAACGATTCCGGAAATGGAAAAATATGTACAGCGATTGAATGGACTTCACACATTGTGTGTTTCCCCCGAATTTGTATCTTC